ATGTAGTTCAGATCTCTGCGGATGAACTGGATCTGGACAATTGGTAAAATAAGTACAACTTGTGTGTGCACAGGACATGTGCACTTTGTAAGACAAATGTACGTACGTCTTTGGCCGATGACGCCTTGGGCACGTGAAGCCTCTCGGGGTTAGCGGTGCGAGCAGCAGGTTTCACCGGAATTTCACTAAGGACCATCATGGTGTCAAGTTGGCCTGTTTTTTCGTGGGCTTTTAAAAATCCACTCCGTTTCTCGGTGGATGCCAACTTCAAGGAGGGTGTGTGAGGTGAATGTTCTGTTTCCCCAGTCTGGGCTGCTTGGTCACTCATGGCTGAATTTATGGTGCCATTCTCATCCCGCGTCTGCACAGTTTTGGAGCCCTGCAGCACAAATCTCAAGTTCAATCGACTTGTTTTCATCCCAGCACAGTAGTAGCTGGCGATGTGGATGTCGCGTCAATGGTTTGACGATAGCCTACCAGCTGAGACTGGCCTGGTAAACTATGCGGGAATTAAGATGATCCCAAAGAGGTAGACATATACAGTATCGCGCCATCTTTGAATTAAGTAAAGTTCGCCTCAACGGTGGTGCTCATATTTCCCGCCAATGCCAGTTGGTGGAGCGCCAATCGCTTTCCGACTGTAGACTCAGGTTAATTTAGTGAGGCGCCCACTTCAAGGCAGGTTTTTTGAAACTGCATTTGTATTTTGGTGCCACATTTGGAGATTTTCCGAACTAATGTGAGCTTGTCACGCTTAGAAAACATGGAAACGGCACTTGAAACACGCAGGTCAAAGTTACGCGCATATTGCTGCGTTGAGTGGAGGCGTGTATGCGTGCGTTTGGCCAAGAAGTGACAGTGTGAAATCCAAACTGCTTCTGTTAATCAATTAGCCAAACACCGCAATATGAAACAAGTCTGCTGGAAACAGTTAGCAAGACTAGCCAATGAGAACGATATAGTTAGTGCAGTCGCGAGCTCAACATTTTGTAACCCTCTAGATGGCAGGAATTTTAAACTTTCAAATGCACCTCAGATTCGCCATGAATTTTTGACACTGCACTTTGGAGACGATGTTAAATTGACACGGTAGCACGCAACTGCCGCAAAGTATGCACTATT